TTCAAACTTTTACTTACAGAAGAGTCAACCAAATTAAATACTATATAAAAACCGTTTTCATACATTTCTGTAAGCAAATAGAAAGAGATAATTTTCATCTACCATTTCATAGAATTTTGCTGATTGCAATCATTTTTTGAAATGGTTAATTAAAATTGATTTCGCCAAATACTGAAGTATTTTTATAAGAAGCATTATGAAATAAATCGCTATCTTTTTACTCGTTTGATATATTTCTTAACTACTAATATGTGAATTTTAAGACATTGAGATTTATTTCAAATTTCCGATGAAGGTCTTTTGGGAAAACTAATTTTTGTTGTACAAATTACTTCATATATCTATAGGTACACCTGTACAATAATGAAATTGATTTGATAGTTCATAATTATCAAACAAATTTCTTGGCATGAAACCAAATGATTCTATCTAAAAATTTAATCTAGCAATTTTATTTATCTAAAATTGAACTAGGTAATACGTATATAAATAATATTATATATATATACATATATATATATATATATATATATATATATATATATATATATATATAATATATTAGATCGAATGTCGATAATTGCAAACTTAGAATACATATATGCTGAGATCCTGTGAACTTATTCAAAACTTATTAAAGACTAAATTTAATTATATTTGTGCAATAATTCTTAGATGATCCCTGGCTACACTCATAACTCTGTGTTTAAATAAAAACTTTTAATTATTATTTTTTCAATATTAACGTTGAATATTACATTAACCATTACATAAATTCATAATTTTCTAATTTTATTTATTTCTCTCAAAATAAATATTAATTTCCAACCGCTTTCAGGCCCAGAACTCAACATCAAGCGTAAATAGGGTGACAGTATTAATGGAAAAAAAAATAGAAAAAAATAATGTACTTTGAAAATTATAAAGTTTTGGGTGCAAACTTCAGTGAGACTTTGATCATGTTTTATTTATTGAGGATAATTTTTATTATGAGATTGTTCATTAAAACTTTGAATCCGTAACCATACCATTTTTAGGATCACAGTCAAAAATAATGGCGCAAATACAAGTTTTCTAGAATTAAGACTATTTGTTGAACTATCAAGTTTGAATAACTATTAGTTAATACTACTTTTCAAACAATATGCAATTTTTTCATAATAGTTACATTACTATCAGTCAGCCCGTATCGGCTTGACGTTGAGTTCTGGGATACACTGTAATAACTTTTCATAAAGTTTGAAATATCTTATTTTTACCAAAATTGGTATCATTCTTAAGAAATAATTCTCAATAAATTTATGACAACTAGCTATAATTTATTACTTCTCACAAAAATTTGATGAAAACCTTTACCAATGACATCCACGTTTTACCATTTATATAACATTTGGTTGCAAAACGTATTGCATAATTATAATTAAATTAGGCAACTAATTAGTTCTGAATTTACCTAATATTTTGGTAAAATTTTCACAAATAAACTATAAGCGAGTAAAACTGTCGATAAACGTGAAGAGCACATTTACCGAATAAATTTGAAATGTAATGTATAAATTTTTGGGTTTAGATAAAACTAATGAACCGATTCTGACGCACAATAGACCAATGTTATGGCAAGGCTATGTTATGAAGAACTTTCCATACTAATTCGTTCTAAATATTAACAAAATCCATCTGGTTGATATGCAGTCAAGCGTTTTTCTCAGATTGTCAGATAGAAAATCTAACCTTGAAACCGCACAAATGTCAGAAGAAAGATCTTAGATAACTGGGTCTTTATGACCCAGCTTCGTAACATACGAGTGACGTTGCAGTTTTTGTGTAAAACGTCTGAATGCACAGCAAATACATGACATTTTGGCAGTATTCAATATGATTCAGTAGCATAATGTATGGAATTTGGAGCGCAACATGGCCTTACCATAACATTGGTCTGTTGTGCGACAGAATCGGTCCATAAATTAAAAATTCATGCAACAACAATTTTCTTGCTACATAATTTCTGATCATAATAGTTTTTCATACATATTAATACACATAACCTTCCTTAAACTAGTAAGACCATTCAAATCATCAAAATAAAACATGCGTTATTAAATATTATATAATAATATATTATAATACAGAATTTGAGATTATTTACCAGCACTCTTTCATTTCTAATTACAACCAAATGATATTTGCTGTTGAAATATATTCAACGTATAAAATCAATGCGCGAATCAATTTTACCAATTTGGTCTTCTAGCTTAAGGAAGATTTAGGGGGCGAATTCTGTGGTAAAATAGACGATAACATAGCGTTGTTATGGCAACGTAGTACAAACTGTCAAAATGCTCCGATCAGGCGTTTTACACATAAAACTTAAGTTCGCACATGTGTTATCATGACACATCAGAAAGATGCAGTTACGATAACGTTTTTTTTTTGACGTGTGCTTTCTAGGTTAGTTTTTATATCTAAAACGCTAATACATAGAATTTTAACAGTTTCTACTATCAATTTGTATTAAAAAAGAAGTGCAACATGGCGTTGCCATAACAATGCTATGTTTCAGTCCATTTTATCTGAGAATTCGTCACGTATATAGACACCTTCACATATATTGAAATATATTAATACACTATTTAATATATATTTGTTTTAAAATTGTTCAATTGCATAAAGGCATAAACATTGTAATGCTATATATTATGGCAGTTAATACATCTGTGCTTATTATTTTTTATATTCGAAGATAATTTGATTAGCATTTATTTTTTAAGCTAGCAGTATACGTATTGATGAAATATGATTATGAGTAAAATATCAGTGATATTATTATGCGGATTAGTATTTTTGTGTATAAAATATAAATTCTTTTCATTTTCAAAATAATCAATTTAATTTTCAACTATAACGATACAAAAATATAATGAATCATTGAATTATCAAATATAGAATCTTTATAATCAAACGATAAATTGAATGTTTCCTTGTATTTTCGTTCATTCCTAATAAAAAATCCATTTTCTATCAAAAATATAGGAAATTACCTGTATGACGAATTCGATTAATTTAAAAAAATCATTCTGAACAGTACATCTTTTTATTTTACATAGCTTTTTACCATTTATTTTTTATAACATTCAAGCCAAAGATTCAAGGTAGAAAGTTTTGAATAAACAATAATATAAAATATTTGTACGTTGTTAAATATTTATATAAACCTATATAATATTGATACCTCGATATGTTTTAAAATTGATAAAATTATTTTGGTATTCAAGCTTAAATGTTCATTTAAAAAGCCATGTAAAATATAAATTAAATCTCATTTATAATTGAAATAAAAACCCTATATAACATCTTAATAAAAATTAAATATAAATTAGTATAATATCATAATTTGTTAGTATGAAACATTCGTTAAAAATTATCAAAAATTCTTCATATTTTCTCGATTGTTTTGCAAGACGTTCTAGTGATTTAATTTAAGTGTTTTCTTTAATGTTTTAAATTAATGACAGGATAAAATTATGGAAAACGCAAAAAGAATTAAACTGATGCATATGGTATACGATTACGATTTGAATCTTAATTAGTAATTGGAAATTCGGCACTATAAAAAATTCGAAATCGCTATATAAAATTACAAAAAGTTATATAAAAGTATAAAAGAACGATAAATAATCTATGAATTCACTTCATCATTGTGCAAATTTTAGACCCAATTGCATATTTTCATGACTGAAATTTATATATTAGTCAAATTTAATAAATTGTAAAAAGTGTGTAAAAAGTTATATTGTGTAAGATGTCGGCAGTTTTCTGTAAATTTGTAGCTATTTTAAACACTTGAAATGATGTGAAGTTGAACAAAAAATTTAGTATACGTAGTCATTAAAGTGTATTAATTAAAAACTTAATCTTAAATTATTGACTAGTTTTGCTAAATACATATAAATATTCTTATGGAAAACACTATTATGAAGTATCAGAATCATTCTGATCCTGATTGGTCATACATGATCAAATATATGATCTTATTGATGTAATAAGATCAAATATTAATGTTCAGATGATAAGAATTATGTTATAGTATATATGTGCGGCATTCATCTAATTTATAATTTAAAATGTATACATCCACCTGTGCCTTAAAAAAGTTTGGCACATAGCACTTTGAAATTTATCATCTGAACATTAATTTCTTCGATTATATTTGATTTAGTGGAAAATTTTGCATTAAGCAACTATATATAAGAACAATTATGTCACAGCTAAATCACTAATTTCATTTTAATAATACTGATTAAAATCGAAATAAATCTAAGCAAAAGATTTCAAAACACACACATATATATATATATATATATATATATATATATATATATCTATATATATATATATAGGTGGCTTAATAAAAATTAATTATTGCAAAGTCAAATCACTTTAATTTCTCACTTAAAATTGTCAAACTTTGTGTCATTTGGATCACGAAAACGCCATTTGTTAATATAAAGCTAAAACAGAAAATTATATTTGATTTCCGAGGTGTAAAAAATGAATCGACATGAAATTTCTTTGTGACATATTTTGAATAGCTCGATAAAATAAAATATTTACAACTACAGTTCAGACAAGGGATTTGAATTGTTTAAATGAGTTTATATTTGATTATTTATTTAGATTTCAATTATTTAAACCGAGATAATTAAAAACGAACAATGCCAGCAAAATTTAAACCAATTGCATTAAACAGACGAGAGTCTGGTCAGGAGAGTTAATTAAATAATTTTATCTTTTAAAAACCCATTTAAAATAATTAATGTTATTGTATCATCACTTTATATTTAACCGGGTTTTTAATTAACTCTCCTGACCCATAATTTTATGTTTAAACAGATCAATAATATGGATCTGAATAATTTCTATATACACATTTATATTTATCTAAGAGTTTTAACTCTTATGTTTAAATAATATATCTTTAGCCAAATAATAAAATATCACTAACTAATTAAAATCAGTTAAAAATTAAATAATAAATAACTTAGCTGGGTTGCGGTGTTACCAGTTGAGCTCCTGATTGTTTGTGCAAAATGGAAGTTATAGCTCGAGATTTCGGTGGTTTCTTCGTTTCCGTGGTTGCTAAAATTAGGAAGAATCATCAATTTCAAAGAATTGTAAAAAAACATATAATAAAAATAAACAAAACCGAGAACTATTATGAATTAAGCGATCAGAAACAGTGATAAATACGAAAAATCATATTTTTTAAAAATCGAAGTAAACTTCCATAACAAAAACAAAGACAATATAAAACTGCTTTAAACTGAGCAATTTGAAACGTCTTACTCATAACTAATGATTAAGCAGTTGTTTTAGTTTAAGGGAAAGGAAATAACTGACTTGTGGTGCTCTCAAACCATGGACCTGCCGCCTTTGGACAGACTATAATGTAATTTAATTTAATTATTATTATTATTATCTCTCAAAAAAACTTTTATAATAAAAATAACGAAAACTAAAAACTATTTTAAACTGTACGATTAAAAAGGGTGACATAATTAATTAATAGGTAGAATTGGGTACAATACCTAAATTATTACCTGTCTGATTAGCATTATGTGGCGGAGGTGGTGGAGCCTTTTCTTCTTGAGGACTTAGAACTACATCTGTGTACTCTTTGATTAAATTTGCTACTTGGAAAGCCTGATAAAGAATAATAAATAAATACTTCTTGTATACAAATATTATAAAAATTAAAGACTCGCATAAAGATTATTAAAAGAGTGTACACACAAACTATTATCATAGTTAAGTATAAAAAGGGTAATAATATTTGATAATAATGAAAAATTTATAACAATTTTACAGAAAAATAATTCAAGTATTACCTGTGAAGTAGTCAATATAACTTTGCTCTGTTTCTTTCCACTGCCTGTGATAATCATCAAACAATTCAGGGCGGGACTATAGCTAGCAATACTTTCGTATTCGTAAGTACACAAAGCATTCCTTGATCGGTGCTCCAGAAGATGCAAACCAACCTGATCGACAGCCAACCAAAGAACACGAGGCCAGTTTGAAGTGAATGATTGCTAATAAAATAAAAATTAAATAAAATATATATTAAATATACTCAAATAACTGCCTACGATATTAATATTATATTGGTAGTTAAATTTACCATAACATCAAATATAGTAGCCCGATGAAGTGGCCAACTCCTGATCAGGTTTAAGAATGACTGCTTTGACTCTGGTGCTGTCATTCCTCTCAGCGATTGATGATGCATAGCAACATCGTCTGCAGATACATCATTGGCACGTCTTGGAGGTAAACAATGTCCAGCCACTGATCTATAATCTTCTGCAGAAGCAGATTCGCGCCGATCTCCTAACTCCAATTGCGCTTGAAGAGCGGTTAACATAACCTGCAAAAATAATAAAACCAGGAAATTATTAATATAACTCGATAAAAAAGTATATCAATTATAGGTATATTTTTTTATAAATATAACTTAATGCAATAGGATATTACATACAAAAAAATTATAAAACAAAATATACTATTCTTAAACAATTAAATATACTTACAGCTTCCATATCGGTAATAGGGAATCTGTCTGATCTTAGATCATGCAAAACCTGATGATATAGTAATTCTTTTTCAACAGGATCTCGAAGATTCATATATTGATCTAGGAACAGATGTTTTTTGAATAAAAATATGTGATGCTGTCTTCTACACTGCTTCGGTAATGTCGATGTTCCATTAGCAGCCTGAAAATATTTATGTAGAAATAAAATTAATGAGCATAAACTAGTTAATCAATTAGTTATATTTATAGGATAGAATTAAAAATAATTTGTTAAATCATCAATAATATTATTAGAGTGGTAAATGAGAAAATTTTGCCATTAATACAACCAGAGAATAAAGTTGACTATGAACATGCTACAACAATATCTCAAAACATGTTGAAAATGAACATGTAACAAATTTAAATCATCTTAATTGAAAGTATTTATGACATCAATAAGTTATACCTGACTCTGTTGTAATGCTTGTTGTGTAGCCGTTCTATATTTTTCCCATTTAGATAACACATCAGCAACTTTTTCATCAGGTACTAAACTTCTTTCAGATGTGCCCAAGACTTCATATATTGCATAACCTGAAATATTGATAAATACTAAATGAGTAAATTATTTCCTAATTAAGGAGATTGAAATAATGAAGATTTATAACAAATCATTAAATAAATTGAACCCTTCAAGTATGTATAATTGAATAAACTTTATGTTGATTATATTATTATTTAACTGAACACAAATTTTAAATATTTGTTTATATAATTGATATGTAATATTCCATATGATAATCCTTATAGTGTTACCTTTCGCATCAGCCTGCAGACCAATCTTCTCTCTAACTAATTCAACAACATCTCTGGCTGTGCAGGAAGCATGGAATTCCACACTTTGATATTGTCCATCCATGAAATAAAATCGAGCATATACTGGTCTTCTATTTACAGTGCATAAGATTTCATCCCGTGATGGTGGCCACTGCCTGCGGCGAGTGCCTTGAGTTCTGAATAAACACTAGAAAAAAATATAATAATATTATGTTTTGTTAAATATTACATAATGCATTTAAGAAATAGAAGCTAATAAATTTAGCTTGAACTTTTTATTTTAATATATAGAATGTAAACATATTAAAATTCAATCTTTACAATGTAACGTGACTTATATATGATTATCGTAAAATTTTATTTACAAAATAATGTGGATTAAAAAATAGGTTTAATTTCGCCTTAATGTAAGTTGCATATGTGGGAGTAGTCCACATATATTAAATGATGAAATTATATATGATATTTATTAACTTTCCGTAGAGTAAGTTATAGTAATCGCAAATAAATCAAAAATTAAAATTTTTGCATATCATGCGGAGAAGTAGTGATTAGTTTTTGCCAAAGGCGGTCCTGCCATTTCGAAGATACAGAGCTAAATGTACACAAAATTGAGAGAACTAAGCATCCGATTTGAATGATTCAAAAACTGTGTTTGTTTTGACAAAATAATTGCTTTTGCAGATTTTCTTTTAATTACATTTTTTTTACCAAATTTTTTTTTCAAAAATATTTTTTTGTGAATCGAAAATAATTCAGATTTTAATTTCAATACTCGCTAAAGTTTTAAAGCTGACTTATATACTTTAAATAAATGATTTTAACTTTGTAATTCAGTTTATATAATTCTAATAAATATTAGAAAATTTTACAGTATTTATATTAATCTAATTTATTTGAAAATGTTTAATATTCCTCGAGCATTTCGTTACGGTTCTGGAAGTTCGAGCAATTTGCCTTGAGGTACGATGCCATATACAACTAGTTTTACTATATATGATTCTGATCAACAAATATACAATAAAATTTACATTATTTGTAATTTTTATAGAAATATCATAGGATTGTTAAAAAAATATATTTCATTGTATTGTAAAAATACAAATAATGAAATTGTAACCAATTTGTATACGAATATCATAGGATTGTTAGAAAAAAACTATTCATTGTGTTGTAAAAAACAAATAACGAAATTGTAAAAAGTCAATTCAATTCATATTTCAAAACATATTTTTTTATTTTTTTAAATTTTATTAACTTCCCGTAGGGCAAGTTATAGTAATCGCAAAAAAATCGAAAATGAAAATTTTAATATATCTTTACGTTTCAAAACCTTCTGAACATTTTAGCATACCTTAGAAAAAATGGATGTATGTGTGTGTGTGTATGTATGTGTGTGTGTATGTATGTGTGTGTGTATGTGTGTGTGTATGTATGTGCGGATACAAATTTTTGTCGACGATTTTGGGAACACGGATCAACCGATTTGAATAATTCAAAAAACATTCGATTCGTATTGATAAGGAAACGTGCTGATTAGTTTTCGGCGAAGGCAGGTCTAGCCGTTCCAAAGATACGGGGCAAAAGGTGCCAAAAACGGTAACTCAGTTTTTAAGAGAACGGATCGTCTGATTTGAATAATTCAAAAAACATTTTACTTGTATTGACAAGATGAAGAATTGATCAAATTTTCATGAAGGCAGGTCTAGCGGTTTCGGAGATATAATGAAAAAAGTAATTAAAAATGCCATTTGGCGGTTAAAAGTGATCAATAGACATATGCACATCAAATTATCAGATATTTTATAGAGATTTCAACAATAAGTATATTTTTTTTTTACATTTCTATGGGTTCCGTACCAATGCTTATGCGTTAGACGGCGGCGCGGCACTTGCGCGCTTTGACATTTCGTCTCTATGCAGTTCAAGCGGTACGATTGCTTTGAAAAAAAGTTCAGAATTTCCAAAATATGTCAAAGTGAAGAAAACATTTTTCTTTTCAAAAAAATTTTGTTATCAAAAAAAAAAATTTTTTTTTTCAAAAAAGTAATTTTTTTCAAATTTATAGTTTTTAAAAAATCTAATTTTTTCGAAGTAAATTTTTTTCAAAAATGTTAATCGTTTTTAAAAAAATAATAATTTTTGGTACGCGAAGTGTACGCAATTTGCCTTAAGGCACGATGCCTTAATTGCCTTGAGACAGAATTCCACTTACAGCTAGTTTGTATTTTTATTTTTCACAATACATATGTAATATGAAATATATGATATTTGAAAAAATTGGTAAGTTTTACATGTGAACGTAAGCGCAAGTTGCGCAGTGTTGCCATGTCTACAGTTTTAACTGTAGATCTACAGTTTTTAACTTCCCGTAGGGCAAGTTATAGTAATCGCAAAAAAATCGAAAATGAAAATTTTTATATATCTTTACGTTTCAGAGGTTTCTGAACATTTTGGCATAACTTAGAAAAAATGGATGTATGTGTGTGTGTGTGTGTGTGTGTGTGTGTGTATGTGTGTGTGTATGTATGTATGTATGTGTGTGTATGTATGTGCGGATACAAATTTTCGTCGACGATTTCGGGAACACGGGTCAACCGATTTGAATAATTCAAAAAACATTCGATTCGTATTGATAAGGAGACGTGCTGATTAGATTTTGGCGAAGGCAGGTCTAGCCGTTCCAAAAATACGGGGCAAAAAGTGCCGAAAACGGTAGCTCAGTTTTTGAGAGAACGGAGCGTCCGATTTGAATAATTCAAAAAACATTTCACTTGTATTGACAAGATGAAGAATCGATAAAATTTTCATGAAGGTAGGTCTAGCGGATTCGGAGATATGGAGGAAAAAGTAAAAAAATGAGCCATTTGGCGGTCAAAAATGATCATTAGACATATGCTCATAAAATTATCAGATATTTTATAGAGATTTTAACAATAAGTATACAATTTGTTAACATTCCTATGGGTTCCGTACCAATGCTTATGCTTTAGACAGCGACGCGGCGCTTACGCGCTTTATATTTTGTCCCTATGCAGTTAAAGCAGTACGATTGATTGCTTTGAAAAGAAAGTTCAGATCTTCCACAATATGTCAAAATAAAAAAAAATTTTTTTCAAAAAAAAAAAATTAAAAAAAATTTTTTTTTTTTAAATTTTTTTCAAAAAAAAGTAATTTTTTGTCCAATTTATAGTTTCTCAAAAATCTTATTTTTTCAAAGTAATTTTTTTTTTCAAAAATGTTAATCGTTTTTAAAAAAATAATAATTTTTGGTACGGGAAGTTTCAGCAATTTGCCTTAAGGCACGATGCCTTAATTGCCTTAAGACAGAATTCCACTTACAGCTAGTTTGAGAATGATCTCAGTTTTGCAGTTTTTGGGTCGAAATCTACAGTTTTTTTGCTGAAGGTGCTAGCGCCGTTTATTTTATTTGTTATGCAGAACTTAGTGGCAGTTGCACTGAGTCAACTTTAACAAAACTACTATTGTTAAACTAGAGGTAATGGTCATTGATTATTTTAATAGTATACGCTAATATGAGAAACTTTATAGCTCATGCTTGACTGTCAACGCAAAGAAAAACGGCGTGACTAGCGGCGAAAAGCAAAATGCTATCCGTTTATCTCTCATTAACTAACCAACCTTTCTGTTGTTAAATATTTTCCTTCTGTAAGTCATTTCTTGTATCTGTAAGTCAATCTAAATCGATTTGTCGACACAAAAAATAGATTGTTAAAATTGCATCGTGCCTTAAAGCAAATTGCTGGAACTTCCCGTACCGTAACAAAATGATCGAGGAATATTAAATGTTTTAAAATAGATTATTATAAATATTGTAACATTGTCTATATTTATATTTAAAAGAATTATATAAAAAATATTGAAAAGTTGAAATTATTTGTTTAGAGTATATTAGAACAGAATTAAAATAAAAATCTGAATTATTTTCGATATACAAAAAAAAATTTTTTTTGAAAAAAAAAATTTTAAAAAAAAATTTTGAAGCAAAAATTTTTTTTCCAAAATTAATTATTCTGTTAAAACAAGCAAAAAGTTTTTGGAATCATCCAAATCGGACGCTTAGTTCTCTCAAAAACTGCCATTTTTTGCACATTTAACTCTGTATCTTCGAAACCGCTAGACCTGCCTTTGCCAAAAACTAATCACCCCTTCTCCCCGTCATTACAAATTGAATGTTTTTGGGATCATTCAAATCGGACGCTCCGATCTCTCAAAAACTCGATTTCTATTTTCTGCATTCTTTGCTCCGTATCTCCTAATCGGCTGGATCTGCCTTTGCCAAAAACTAATCAGCACATCTCCCTCACAGGAGTCGAATGTATTTTGAACCATTCAAATCGGTTGATCCGTGCGCCCGAAAACGAGGATAAAAAATTGTATCCATACATGGATGGTGTGTTCAAAAAGTACCCGGAATTACTAATAATTAAATTTCGCGGGTCTGGAGTGTCTGATTGTCAATTTTTTTTTTATTGTGTTGGTATACATGCCCCTAAAGTATGATGAAATTTTCAGCTATATTCACTGTTTACTTTGTCTGTGGTAGTCGCTAAGGTTCGACGTGTTTTTCTGAGCTCGGCGATTTTTACAATGGAAGAATTGAAAAGTCAAAGAATTTGTATTAAATTTTGCGTAAAAAATGAAATAAAGTGTTGCAAAGTGCAAAAATTCACCAGATATGGCTCCGTGTGACTTTTTCCTATTCCCAAAGTTGAAGAGACCCATGAAAGGACGGCGGTTTTCCTCGATTGAAGAAAATCGCTGAGAGTGCTCAAGGACATATCAAAAAGTGAATATCAAGGGTGCTTCGAAAATTGGAAAAAACGCTGGCATAAGTGTATTATATCTGGGGGGGACTACTTTGAAGGGGACCACATTAATGTAAACGAATAAATAAATATTTTTTTGAAAAAACGAAAGTTCCGGGTACTTTTTGAACAGACCTCGTATATACACACACACATATACCATTTTTGTGAGGTATGCCAAAATGTTCAGAAACCTTCAAAACGTCGAAAAATGTAAAAATTTTCAATTTCGATTTTCGGCCCATTACAATAACTTACCCTACGGAGAGTTAATAATCAATATTTTAAATAATATTATTCATTGCATTTTGTTTCGTTTAATACTCAACTAGTCTAAGTTTGATTCAAATCTATTTTTATTAATAATAACATGAAATAACAAATAATTAATGAAGTATACAATATATTGTATAAGCTACGATGGAAAACTTATATTCAAGAATTTGATAGGCATCGATGTTTGGGATGAATGAATATAACAAAACCGTTAGAGATCATTATTGCTTTCAACTTTTTTTTTTCAAAAATACCACTAATGTTATATTTTGTTAGTTGCTATAAATATTCTATTATAACTATATAATATTACCATCATTTAATGATAAAACTGTAGATTTACAGTTTTTCAATTTGAATCTACAGTTTTCGACAGTTTTTTTTTTGGTCTATCTACAGTTTTTCTCTATGGTGGACCTGGCAACACTGAGCGCAACACACCAAAACTAACGTATATGACACTTCTAGGTAAATAAATAACGATAAAGAGATTATTGGGGTCCTTTCGGACCCTCCAAAAATTGCCTTAGCCCACGGTATTTCACGTGGTCTCGGCGGGGTATTGGTAAAAGTTTTCAACTAGCAATAATCGCACCTCGGATGAACCTCATTGGTTACGATATCGCCACTGCGCAAAGCTGACGAACGGGGCCAAAGAGGTTTCTTATATCCTAATACGAGCAGTATTTCGCAGCGTGCGCTTCGAAACGGAACGTTGAAACTGCCTGTAGGTAAATGATATAATAGTAACGATGAAGGTTTCGTTCTTTTTTAACTTCCCTTAGGGTAGTTATAGTAATGGGTAAGTTATAGTAATAGTTACAGTAATAATGGGTAGTTATAGTAATAGTAAAATCGAAAATAAAAACTTTCGAAAACATTTTTTTTTAAATATTGATAATTTTATTTCTAATTCCAGCTAAAGTTCTAAGCATCACTTATATACTTCAAATAATTAATTTTAACTTTGCAATTCAGTTTATATAATTCTTATAAATATTAGAGAATGTCCTTCATTTTAAATTCGATTAAAATTAAATAGACGTCGTCGTCCAATTCAAAAGCTTTTATATATTACTAGCTTACCCGGCAAACGTTCTAAACCATTACCTATCTAGACCTTTTTACACTATAGGCGGGGTAAATTGAAACGGGCAGGTGACAAAAGGGTTTAAAGCCTTATTATAATTTTAAACGTATTTTACAAAATAATTACATTTTTAACTAATGCTAAAAAACTACCAACATAAGAAAATACTTTTATTATGAATTTTCAAAGATTACCGTTTATCACCCCCATTTCAAAGATTACCGTTTTCAAATCAAGGTTATAGCTGGTTATACATGTTTTTTCCTCTACTTTCAAATATTGTTGTTATACTTAAATTTACTGATTTTTGACACATCGGTGGTGGACCTTTTTAACCTCGGACCGTCATATAGTACTATTCGATAAATTCTGTGCAATTATAACTGGGAAAATGTTATTCGAAAAATGTCCCTTTAATCGATACCAAATTTAGGTTCTGAATTTAAATAACAAATAAAAAATAATATAACCTAGAAAATGTTTTATAAATACCAATGAGTATATAATTATACAAATGAGATCTTTCAGAGCACCGTGTATGAGAAAAATATGCAAAAAGTGCATTTTCATATTAACATTTCGAAAAGTTGATATTTTGAGTCTCTAGTAACACTTGCGGCCCGTTTCCTAACGTTTTTGTATATAAATAAAACTACAAACAAATCTACTTACTACAATTCAATCATAATTAAATAATATTTACGTAAAACATCCTATTAAACGTAATTGAACATAAAACGTTTGACATTTCATATTAGCCGTCCATTGTTTTATTTAAATTACGCTTCTATAAAAAATTTCAAACTAAATATGTAAAGTTTCTACGCGATTTTGAAATATTATCTCACCTTTCCGACCATCTCTGGATTGGCACGAATTTTTCAAGACTAAGACTCGTCAAATCGGTTTAGCCGTTTTTGAGTTTTACCGAATCATTTGATCGAGACTACATTTTTATATGTAAGATATATAAAATAAGAATAATGATAGTTGCAGTATTTATAATAATCTATTTGAAAACATTTAATATTTCTTAAGGCAGGATGCCATACACCACTAGTTTGATTTTTTTAAAATAAAACTAAAATGATATTTTGAACGGTTTTGTTTTTAGGACAACTTGATACTCCTAGATTGGTAGTGTTTTTGAGGAATTCTATTTGATACTAGTTCAATTGTAAGAAATATTTTTGATTTCGCATAGAGTAACTTATTGCACACGCCAAAAATTGTTTTTTTTTTTGCATATCTCGACGTTTCGCAAGTTTCTGAACATTTTGGCACACCGTAGAAAAATGGATGTGTGAATGCGTGTATTTGGATACAATTTTTCGTCTATAATTTCGGGCGCATTTGAAAAATTCAAAAAACATTTGAAACCTGGTAATGGAAGGACGTGCCCTTACTTTTTGGCAAAGGCATATCCAGCCGTTTCGGAAATACAGAGCAAAGAGTGCAGAAAAGAATTTAAGTTTTTGAGAGAACAGACCATCCGATTTGAAATGTTCAAAAACATACAATTTGTAATGATGGGAAGAAGTGGTGATGAGTTTTTGGCAGAACAGGTCCAGCTGTTTCGGAGATATACGGAACTAAATGTGCAAAAAATGTTGGTGTTTGAGAGAAGGAGGCATCCGATTAGAATGATTCAAAAAACATTAAGTTTGTGTTAACAATTCAAATTTTAACAATCAATTACGAAAAAAACGACCCGATCTATCTTTGCCAAAATCTAATTAGCACGATTCCCGAATATCTTTCAAATAGTTTTAGGCATAAAATTAGGCTAAAACAAATGAGAAAAATTGTACACTTTTCTGCTAATTATAAAGAAGACCGGTCGTCGCGCAAAAATTAATTAACCCTAGTCCTTATCAAGATACATGGAATACCTTTTAAATTTATTTTTATAAACGGTTCAACTGATTTTGATAAAACGTTGATGAACGGTCAAAAATCAGGCCATATAGATACACATTTTTTTACCACATTTGGTATTCTATTCGAGAAGTCAATAGTTTTTATTAACACGATTTTTAAAGGTGCTTTTGTATTTCCACTTATTAGACAGCTTGTGAAGATCTTGGTACCTAATATATTCCTCAGAGATAGTTCAATCATGACTTGCGGAACCGTGAAAGCATTTATATTTGGAGTATTGTATTTGATAAAATATAAATGATTGTAAAAGATATATTTTATTATTTTCTGATAGGAATCTGCCCGGCTTCGAATGTAGACTTCTTTTATAGCTCTATTTTTTATTAATGCTACATTCATGTTTCATAGATACATATTCTATCTATTTTTATTTTGTCAAAAAAATTCAAATGAATACAGTATAACTTTTGAACTTTTTGCTTCGATTTAGGAATTAGCGACGCAAAAGCATACTTGAAATTTGTCTATATACTGAAGAAGTCTCGATTTTCATAGACAATTTCATAACACGATTCACAATTTTGTATATTTCAAAAATTGTTCCTAATAATTACAAATTAAATTTTTATAACCAACCTTTTCAGCAAAACGTGCAAACTTTCCTTCTTCCGTGACGTGGTCTCCGGCGCACCTCTTGAGATGTGCTATCAAGTATCTCCTCAATGGTTTCTGTTGTGGCAGCGCTACAGAACAAGCAAGCGCCAGCAAGGCCCAGTGTCTTAAATTGGCCCTGGAATCTCGATCTGGATGGGCTGTAGTTTGTTTTATTAATTGCAAGTAAAGTTCCCCAAGCATAGTGTCCTTGTGCATACACTTTTCAAGTATAGATTGAGCTATTGTTATGCGTTCGTCTTCTGCTCTGCAAACTGTATCACCTGCAATATGAATAAAAGTTAAAGCAAAATAAGTAACTGTAAAGGATAGAAATCTAATATAAATGATAAGCAAACGACAAAGAAATCATAATACGTCGCGTTGTCAAAAAAAATAAACAAATTAATATTCATCATATGGCATTGCTATAAAAAGACAGGCACATCAAAATCGGATCAGAGACATGGACTCTGAGAAAAGCCGATAAAACCTGTCTGGAGTTGCTTTGAAATGTGGTACTGAGGACAAGCAAAGATAAAATGGACAGATAAAATAACAAATGAAGAAATATTGAGGTTAGTAAGAATAAAGCAGTCAAATTGGACGCATATTTCAATAACAGTGTCTGCTGTACGATGCCGTGGCGATGAAGACTAGTTTTTGGTAAATGATAGTTGAAATTATTTTTATGATTTCAATAGTAGAATACTTTAAATAATAATATTGCTCACATTATAAACGAAAATGCTGAATTATAGGCCTACAAAAAGTGGTTTAATTGTACAAGTTCGTTCATATGAGAATAATAGGCATTTTTGAAAACTATTTACAGTCTATTACACATATCGGAAAAATTATGGAACTTGCTCTACAAAATACTACTTGACAACAGTTTTATTATCTACACTGTATATTATGTTGACAATCAAGAATTAAGTATTTAATTTTATCAATAGTCTTGAGAACTTAACATAATGATAGTTTAAAACTAAATCACTACTAAAAAATTAGCAACCTCAATTAATACTATTTCAAGAAAATTTCACACAACAATAAAAAAAACAGTGTCGAGAAAAACAAATAATTAATATTTAAATATTTAAAAGCTAAATTAAATATTATTTAATTTAGTTGGTAAAAAAAAAAACATACGCCCGAACAGGGACTTGAACCCTGGACCCTTGGATTAAAAGTCCAATGCTCTACCGACTGAGCTATCCGGGCTCTGTATGTGGGTCAAATATTCCTAAATACTTAATAAATTTATTTAATAAAAACAAAAATTAAAAAAACAGCGCAAATAGCAAAATTAATATTCTTATCAGGGGTCAACCAAATAATCTAATTAAATTAATTGCAAATAGTTAGTACATATGTAAATTAACACAGTTAACTATGATTTACAAGTATACTTGTCATGAAAAAGCGACAGAATACTGTGTATTGATGAGTATATTCGAAATTAACTAGTTGGTATTGGTAATTTGCCTTGAGGCAAGTTACATGAACTTCCCGAAATGTGTAAATAATCGACTTAATCAATAAAAAATAAATTAATTTATGAGTGATTATAAGTATTCCGAGTGGATTTATTACACATCATTGCAAACGAACGAACGAACGAACGAACGAACACGTTTAACTCGGAGTATTTTCTAAAAGCAAATTTTCAAAAATCAATAGTTTTAATTAATCAATAATTATAATTGAACCAGTTTCCGTAAGACATTATACGTTATACCAACTAAATCATCTAATTTTATTTTTAACAAACGTCAAAAAAACTACTCATTTTCTCAAACTTGATGAATTTTTAAAATTAAACTACTTGTCATAAGGCCGTAATATTTCAGTAAGTTCTTTAAGACCATGATATATATCGCTAAAAAAAGTTCCATAAAAATCGGTAATTTTTTTTTTCATCAGGGAATTACAAGAAAACGGCTTGGTAGATTTTCACCTAAAACTAATCAGTATCATTCCTAAAACTATCAGTATCACCAACTAATATCTTTCGAACAGTTTTTGATTTTTTAAAATCGGTTCGGTAGTATGAGCTTAAATATGGACGAAAAGTTTAACACTTTTTTCCAAATTACAAAGAAACGGCTCGGCCGATCGTTGCGTAAAACTGAGAAACGATAATCCTCATCGAGATACATCAAATGCTTTTCAAATATCTGAAATCGGTTCAGGCGTTTTTGAGCAAACGTCGATGAAACTTCTAATTTTGACAAATGCCAAAAAGACCATACTAATTTTTGCAAACTTTGACAAATTTTTAAAGCTAAATCAGTTGTCGTAGGGCCATAATATTTAATTAAGACGACTGTCAAAAAAATAATCATAAAAATCGTCGAATTTTTTTTTTTAAACTTCATTACGGCAAAAAATCTGTTCACATACACATACACACACACACATACATACTTTTTCCAAATTTGGCCTCATTCGATTCAGAATGGCTTGAAACGTCGAGAAAACATAAAATTAGCAAATCGGATTTTTTGATGAAAACATAAACTTCTCCTTCGGGAAGCTAAAAAAAACAAAATATATTCTCAAATTTAAACACGGATATATCTAGGGATAATATGAGATTATGCCGGTATAAAATTAAAAAAATAGTATCAGGTGATTGTGTGTCCAAGAATTTATGTGCGATGAAAACGTTTTTTATATATTAAACATAAGCTATGAATTACAAGAACTCGGTTTGCAAAGTCGTATTGTCTATAAAACCCTATTTTGTTGTATTACACCACAGCAAAAGATTGAATTCTCACATTTATATAAATAATATTTAATTCAATTTATTCAGTTTATAATTCAACGCGCTTGTAATAAATGCTTATGTTAACCAAAGCAGTAAAAATTGGTAATAACATTTCCAATGTTGTAAAATAAAACCACCTTTTTTATCTTTATTTACATGAGAATAAATAAATTAATATAATTTTCTTACCATTTTGCCCAAGCCCAGCGTATGTCAATACAGATTGGAAAACTTGTAACATTTCTTGCTCCTCCTGCTCATTCAATTTACTTAAAGTCTGTGTCAGAGGTTGTTTGGTGAAGGCCCAATATGCAGGAGAAAAGCCTCTATAGCATTCACCACCTCCACCAGCACTGTCTTGTCCACCATTCTGTCCAGACATTCCGTGTTCTTGGCGCAAACGGTCTAAGCGATGCTTGCTTAATCTGTGCAAATCAGAAGCAAACAATTTCAATTATGATCTCATAAATACTTTAAGACACTAAGTTAATAATAAAATATTTGACCTTATTATTACCTTCTCAATGTATTCCTTAAAAAGCCTCCATTTGTGTCTTGTGGCCTCCTCAGCATTTCACCATCAACTAAATGTCTTCGACATGCTACTAAACTTGGTAAAGCCTAACACGATCTTCATTAGTTACACTCTTGTATCGTTTTGTAGGCGCCTTAAAAACATAGATATTATTAATGAATTCTATAATATATGACATGATTTATTGATGAAAATAATCCAACTCTGTGAGAGTAAACCATTAAGTGAATAAAAATATTTTCTTAATTTTTCTAATATTAAACAAAGTAAAACAAATTATGATGTTGTTTAAAGTACTATTAAATATCAAAATTATTAAGGTATTATTTACAAAATTACGGACAAATTTATCCATTTACCTCATTATCTGTTATCCAGACTCCCAAAGCAGGGCAATAACTGACAATTAAAGAAGCAATCTCATTTTTCTGAGCAGTTTCAAATACAAAACATCTTTGTTGATTTTGTGAAACACTATCTGTATGCCTTGATAAACCAATTGTAATAAAACTATCGCTAGGATCCAATAAAATAGATTCAACATCCTGATATCGATATTCGTAGAGCACAAATTTGTCTTCTGATTTTATCAGCATTATACCATCACAATTCACTCCAAGAATAAGAGAATTACCTGAAAAATATGTAGAATAAATGTAGTAATTGAATAAGCAACTGATATATTTTATTTAAGTTACAAACAAAGCCATATTTATTAAATTGTATGATGCTTCAATTGTATGATGAAAATGAATAAATTATATACCATAAGACCAGTAGCCACGATAGGTAACTGGATACATGGTTGTGCCATAAAGTGGATATTGCATCACGCATGAGAGATACAACACTTTGGCAGTGAGTTCAGACCTGCCAGCTCCATATTGCCTATAATAGTACATATAAAAATTTAAATATAAATATATTAATTTTTATAAAACTTTATATCAAAAATATATATAAAATATCGAACTTTACCTATGCCCCTGCGCTAGAACAGGTACCCAAACTTCATCAGGTCTAGTCCGACTTACTCTGTAAGGCAAGTAACTGTCTACATCAGCATAATATTCTGGCCTACTATTATCACCTAAAGCAACCTGAGCCTGTAAGCCAGCGAGTTGCAAAGCTACTTTTCACTGACTGGGAAATCACACACAAAAATTGAAAACATATTATTAAATAATTTTAAAATTATTTCATGAAATGGACAAA